CTAAAATACTCAGTCTGGACATGAAATAAACTTGATTTAGCATAAACTATTATGATTACATAAATGATTTAGATGGATCGATAACTATTCCGCTTATTGAACATCTTTTCGAAGTATGTGAATTTTCACTGTTTGTTTTTACTAAAAGATAATCGCATCTGTACCCATCTCTGGTCTGCTGCAATGTTTGCTTGTTGATGAGACGAAGATATTTCTGTTTTATTTAGTTTAGCTCCTGAAACATTTATTATAATCTAACTTGGCTTACGCTTAGTTTTTTCACGTCTTGTAAGCTGATTTATATTTGATACTTTCATGTTAAAGGATTAATTAAATTCAAACTGTTTCGCTCGGGTCAAAGAATGTTAAGAATTAACTTGCTTATTATGGCAAAAAAATGAGGCATTTTCGATTTCAAAGTATCAGAATTTGGTGGAGAGGAGCTAATTTCATCGCACTTGCTGTTTTGATATCAATGAAATTATTCTCGATTTCTACACATGCTCTCACTTTTTTTGTTAGAAAGACTTTCACTTCATATGTAGGCGCATGATTAAAAGATTCAAAGGTGATTCCCACCAAAAGACAATGACTGATTCCCGTTGTACGGGCTGAGCTTTCGAGCATCATATGATGGACATCATCAGAGCTAAAAGTCATTCTTGTAAAAGCCTCAGGCCATTTTCACCCGAAATGATGGAGTATGTCTCATGGACCGCGTCAATCTGAAGGTCATATTAAATCCAAACAGCTGTGGTACAACGTGAATCAGCCTTTGTCTTCTGGTCAGATCAGCATTAGAATCTCTTCAGCACAGACTTCCATAGGAAATGAAAGTCTTCCCAACAATGTTATCTTGGGAGATTCACCGAAACTAAGCTACTTTTCACATCTTGGCTTTTTTATTTACTTAGAATGGTAATCATATTGAAGTTATTTTGAATACTTTGTTGTCAGGGTTTGTGATAATGTTGTATATTCTTGACTTGATTTGTATTCCAATCTTGCTAATTCTGACAGGACTAGCTTGGAGCACATTACTATTGCTCTCCAATGGTAGTAAGATAAGAGATATATTGGAGCACAATATAAGTTGAGAAAGTTATATGTGTGCACGTATGTTATGTATGTAATGTATATATGTATATATATCTTAAGAAAGGTATACGTAGTAGTTTTGACATTACAAAACAAACTGATTTCAAAAATATTTCCAACATCCGTTGGATAATACTTCCTCGGGCAGGCAATTCTTAATCTCAGCTGTCATGCTTTGCCTGAACTAACTCGTTTTCCAGCCAATACTCAAAAACGAATTTGGTTGAGAAACGAATGTAACTGAATGATACCATAAATAGACTAGAAACTCTAATTACTCTAGATTTTATGCGCTAGTTAACCATCATTATAATCAAAAAAAACCTACCCTCCTCTGGTAGTCTGTCTTCCTGCCCCTCCTGAACCGGACCAGGCCCAGAAGATGACGACAGTGGCAACTTTGATGAGGGCACTGTTGCAAGTGCCCCCAAAGCCTCCAGTACAATATTATTATCTGGTCCACAATATGAAAAGGCAGCCTGCCCCATACTGTTGATCGCCTGCTGTCCAGCCTCCAAACAAGCACGAAGAGCCTGCTCCGCAGCCACCTGCCGGCTCTTTGAAGGCTCATAAGTTGATCCTACCTCACAAGCTTGCCGGATAGCCGTTAGGATGACGCAGTTAAGGTTTATATGTGCCGCTCGATACTGAGTGGCTAGTTTGGTAGCTAAGGCTGCAGAAAAAAGCCGTATGAGAGTGATTCAATTCATGCAATCACAAAGTAACAATAAAGAACAAGAGTTATACATATTCTGGAAAATACTTTGAATATATGTTCATAAAATAATTCTTCGAGTTTCCATTTTCATATTGTCATTGCTCAAACTGATGTTGGAGAGGCTGTAAACGTGTCAATGCTTTAAAGCTTACAATCCCAAAAAATAATGCATTCAGCAAATTCGATCTCATTTTTTTCCTTTTATGGTCTAGCCAAACTTTGAAAGTTTGAGGTAACGAGTGAAGAAGTGAATCTATCTCAACCGAAGATATAATTTTATACGACCCCTTTACGTTGATCAAAAGTAATTCCGGAATTTTCCTCTTAATAAGTAGCCGATGATACCTGAGACGAGCAGAAATTGCAGTCTGCCCAAGATGAAAAGACCATATAGGTTAAAAATTTGGATTGAATTCATTTTCAGAGCCAGGCTTCCTCCTCAATCGACTTGGTGAAAATCAGTTATCACTCTGTTACAAATGAACGAGGATTAGTTTGTAGTAGCTCCAACATAACAATGGGTTGGAAGTATTTCTCTTCAGAAGCTTCTTATAGTCTAACTATGTCAATTTAATGAGGCCAACTTGCGAAACCCTTCCACTCATCTCTTCAAATGAAACAAGACACTCCAACATCAATATATTAAGGGATTCTTCCAACTATCGAATAACACTGTTTGTTTTAACGCAAATGAAACTTAAGGAGTGCAACAGAGAGCATATTTTGGCTATATACTGCTATATACCACTGTATGCATCCCAGTAGCTATATTTCTACCTTATTTTCCTCGGGCCTCAATAGGCTGCCATTTTTATAACGGCTTATTTCTCACAGAGATTCGCCCTCTTTGGTTCCTGGACTTGAGATCCTATTATGGGATCATATTCACGAAATCTTAAAAAGTCTTAGCTCGTTCCCGAAAAGTGCTCACATCAGGCAAACGAATTTTACTGAACCAAATTTTCCATTTATTACACATTATTGTGCAGAGGCGGTCAATAGCAAAGCTTTCAGCGGAAAGCATAACAAATTAGAACTTGTTAACAAGTATTTCTGCACTACTTTGCTAGAACGAGTAAACAACTCACTGCGAGGTAGAATAATGTCATTTGATAC